AAGTTCTGTCATCAGAGCAGGAAAAATCAAAAGCCACTTAAACAAAATGAGATTCAGTAACACCTGAGGAGAGAGACGACCAAATGTTGCACTGACACTTGGTCCGACCACTTTATGACGAGTCAGTTGGAGAAAACTCACAAAAATGTAACACTTTCCTGTGATTTTAGGTGTGAAAACGTCCTGTGATCATCGCTCCTTTTATCCAGTCTCTCAGCTGTTTTAAAGCCCTGATGCACCAGGATGACTGTCAGCACCTGACGCCAAAGTTAATGCAGTGTGTCCCACACTGCTGGCACGAGTCAGCAGCTTTTTGGTGGATTGAGCAAATCAGTGCAGTGTTACTATTAGTTTTAGTCACATTTTAGTTATTTTTATTCTTCATAGTTTTAGTCGAAGAAAATTCAAATTTTAGTAATTATGTTTTTTTATCTTTAAACTAATCCAGTGAGGCTAATTTATTAATCAGAAATTAGAATCAAGGTGACAGGTTGTATAAAATAATTTGTGCACACTTCCAAACTGTCATGTCTCCAGCAGTGTGTGACAGGTTTAAGGGCTGATTTACGAGCACACACTTACTGATCATCATTTGGAGAAGCTCAACATCTCTTTTATTTCTGCTCTCAACAAATAACTAATGTGAGCCAACTAGGATTTGTCCCCAGGTTCATTGTAAACTCTGACTTATCCATGTGACTGTTAAGAAGCAGAAACATAACTTCTCTCTTCATGTGCAACATGTTAGTCTGGAGGTTTAAACTGGTGTCCTCTCACAGAGTTGGTGATTCAAACTAAACTTTCATCTCTGTCAGAGAAAACTGATCTGAGTTCAGACTGTTTACTTACAGCACAGCTACACTCACAGATAACTGAGCCTCCTACCTGCCTGTCAAACACCATCAACCCACAAACCTGCTCCAGTCTGGACTGAGTGGAGTCCTGCGGGGTGAAGCTGTGAAGTCTGGTGGCTGCTTGCTCTGCTGCCGTTCAGAGGCTCACAAGCAGAGCTAACTTCAAACAGCCACCGCTGCGACTAACAAACTACACAAATCTATTTCGCAGCAGTGGTGACTATTTACAGCTCACAACAAGCACCAACGGCTGATGCTGCTCTGGTGTGAGTGTTTTCGCTGGTTAGTGAAACATCTTGGCACAGACTAATTACTGAGAGCCTGGTCTTACTCTGAAGTCGTCGAAATCCGGCCCTTGAGCAGTGACTCGCGGCATCAGACACCAACAAAAAAGGCGTCCTTTAACATTGGCATGATACGCAGCCAGTTGCCGACATAGTTTAATGGCGCATCAGAGGGAACACACAGCGGGACAAGGATGAAAGTTAAGTTAGTGAAAGTCCAAGTGGTGGGGGTGTTGGATGGGTCCAATAACCACCGACATTCACCCAGAAAGTTTGCATCCCGTAAGATTCGAAAGCCAAACCCTGTTCTTTTTTCCTAAACCCAACCATGTGTGTTGGTTGCTGAAGGAAAAATTTGTCAATTTGTGTTGTGTTTATTTTGAAAGAGACTGAAAGTAAACGCTAAATTTCCTGTGAAAACGGAAGTGTATTCTGAAAACAGACAATGCATGTAACAGGCTGAAGTTGACACGGCGTCCCAGGACATCATCAACCAACACACCCAGGGTACCTTGGCATCGTATGTGGACGTGGAAAGTCCATGACCAAACATCGATATGTGACGAGGTCGGATTATTATATTTACCTAAGTTTAATACATCTCGAGCACAGTACTCATTAAGATACAGGGGAGTACAATTGTGGAACATGTACCATTACTTATTATCCGCCTCTATGTCTTTGTCAGTATATAAGACGAAACTAAAAACTGCTTTGATGACCAAAAGATTCTATAACTGAATAACATCATCTATAGGGTGATGTGTTTTTGCCTGCCTCAAGATGTAAAATGTTATTTTATATTTTTATTCTTATGATAATCAATTTGTTTATTGCTTGTTATCGTGTATGTTTCGTTTTTTCATTATTTTTGCATAGTTTTGTTATGTTTGTCTGTGAGGTTTCTTAACATAAGCCTGTAATGGGTTTCTACCTCACCTGCACATGCTATGTATGACTATATTACTTCTATGTTCTGTTTTCTTATTTCATATGTGCAAATAAATGAAATGAAATGAAAGGAGTGAGAATGTGTTGTTACTGGAGTTTACCGGCCTGTCACTCTTGCGGCATTTGAAGATAATTCTAAGCACAGCTTTTCTTGGTTTTCGAAGTCGAATAGTGCACCACGAACATCTTCGTCACGTCTCATCAGCGAAAACGTAGCATAGATTTCTTCCTTCTTTTTTATTATCAAGATCTATGTTTAGCTCATCAGAGAAAAATGGTTGTTGACGAAAAATTTTCATTAATGAAATGAACACTGAGTGAACCCTGTTATTTTAGGAAATCCAGTAATGCAACAGTCGCTGCTCATTTGATGTTGGTTTGGTGAGTTCAGGCCTTTACTCTCCCGTCTGCAGTCTGATGCACAGACTTGTAAACAGCTGATAAGCAACCTGTTTACATATCTGCCCAACCTGTTTACTTACAGTGAAGGCAGGGAATGTTGTGTGGTGTTATGAGGAGAAGACTTCAGGAGCAGCAATCACACACACATAATCAGCTCTCATAGAAACACACTGAAGGTTTCCTGACTGGAATAACGTCTCTCTGGTTTCCCGCTCAGAGCTCCTCGTTATTTGTTTCTGTCGAGTTGTTTTTATTAAATTTTAATAAGCATTAATGAGGACAGCGGACGACTAAAAGCCAACATCTTCCACTGTTGTGCACACAGCAGTTCTCTCTGTCTTTCCATCACTTCTTCTTTTATTGATTTCTGTTTAAGCCTCTTCATCTGTCTGCCGCTCTCTCTTCTTCATCACTCACAATAAATGTCTCGCTGCCTTTGTTCCCAGACAGCAGTGGCTCTTCTCCAGGGTTTCTTCGCCTCCTCCTTCTTCTTCTCCTTCTTCTCCTCCTCCTCCTCCTTCTTCCTCTTCTTCTTCTCTGTGGGATTGCTCTCATTTATGAAACACAAAGGCGTCGGAGCAGCTCAGCTCTGCAGGAGCTCTGGCACTTACAGCACGCCGCCGGGGATGATGGGAGCCTTTTTTATGACTGTATGTGCTCTGCAGAGTCAACAGGGACCAGTGAGTGTGAGTGTGTATGTGTGTGTGTGTGTGTGTGTGTGTGTGTGTTTGAATGAACACTTTATGCTCTTTTGCTGGTTAAGGGTTTTTCAGTTTTGTTCATTTTATAATCTTTCTAATCAAAGATGCTGAATAAACTGATGACATCACATGTTTCTGTTTTGATGCAGTAAAATAAATAAATAAAAAATAAAAATAAATAAAATACTTCTATGCGTCCATTATCATTGCATAGATACAGCCAATAGATGGCGCTGGAGGGCGGAGTCAAAAGTTTCTCACAACAAACAAGAAGACAGTGGAGGAGTTCATAATATTGTACTTTTAAACACAGGCAGCGCTGTAGATGCTAATGGTCTGTGGCCATTATATACATCTCGACATGTGGACAGAGAATTCTTTTTATTAATTTCACCACATATTATTGTATATTACCATTTCATTCAAGTCCATCATTTAAATCTCTTCATCGTGTGCTGTGTTCTTATTTGGCTTGAACTACGCTACACTGCCTCCACTGTCTCTGTAATCTAATGCAGTCTATCCAGACAATTCCTGTTCGGAGTGCATTGTGCTGGAAATGACATATTACAAATTATGTACAACTTCCTGTTTCCACTATGAGGCACTAAAAACCACACAGTAATTATCATAATGTTGCTGAATATCATGAGTAGAACACTCCACAGCATATTTGTTAATGTAAAATCAAATTAGACAGTTTCCTCTTTCATATCGAAATACTGAAATTCACTATGACACCACAGCAACATGGTTCACCAACTCTTCACAATAAAGCATCATCCAGGTCTTTTCAATTTGAGGTGAATCTGGTCAACTTGGTAGGAGCAGAACATCAAAGTATAAAACATGTAACTACCTGCTGACAGAGGGTGGCGCTCTGACTAGAACTCAGATTTGGCATGTCGATGTCTTCACGCCAGGACTCTTATTAAACATGTGAAGTTTGGGGGAGATTTGACTGAGTGCAGCAGAGTTACAAACTACTTCCTGTTCAGTGGGGAAACATGGAGATTTGACATCTCGTCACGGCCACACCGTTCAACAAAAACCAAGGTCGCCGAGGTGTTTCAGTTGTACTGCCCAAATTTGAAGTCATTTTAGCAACATCTCTCAGAGGAGTTCGTTCAAGTAAGACACCTGGAAACAGACAAAAAAAAGCCCTGAAAATTAAAACTTAATCTAAAATGTCTGACTTCCTGTTGGGTTTAAGATATGGCTCCAAGAAACCTTTTCAGCATGTTACATGTGCCTCCCAATTTTTGTACCTCTGCGTGAAACATACTGTGGGTGCTGCTTTATTGAAAGTTTCTAGGGGGAACTATTGAGACATTTCTTTCACACCTGTGCATGAAACCCATAATTTTTTAATTTATTTTAATGTTAAATTTTCTTTTCTTTTTTTTAAGTTTTTGAGCATCTTAAGTCCAACAAAAATATTATTCTTTCTGTGAAACAATAATAAACGGAGCGATTTCGATAAAGCCGTCGTACTGGTCGGACACAACACAAACCAGTGTTAATAGAATAAATATAAACCACCCAGACCAATGTTACCAGTATTAATACAGACAATTATAAGGAGTGCAAACTGTTCTAACCAGTGCTACCAGTAAAAGAAGTAAACCTATAAACCAGTGAAACCAGTATTACCAGAATAAAAGTTTAAATATTAGTGGTTTCTATAATCAGCTGTTTGTCCTCCAGCTGACTGAAAACATATCTGTTACTCTGTGGTTTCCCGCTGCAGCTCCTCCTCCCAGTTCAGTTTACCCAGTGTGTTCCCAGTGTTCCCAGCGTGTGGTTACCTGTGGTCGTGGGTGTCCCGTCACCAGACACTGCAGCTCCAGCGTCTCTCCCTCTCTGATGGTGTAAACTCGCTCACTGTAGCGTTCCTCCTCCACGTTACAGGCCTGACCTGAGTGCACGATGCGCACTGTAGGGGGCGCTGTGGAACAAAGAGAGACACAAAGGGTTAATGCTCATACCTGCATCACACCTGCATCACACCTCCATCACACCTGCATCACACCTGCATCACACCTGCATCACACCTCCGTCACACCTGCATCACACCTGCATCACACCTGCATCACACCTGCATCACACCTCCGTCACACCTGCATCACACCTGCATCACACCTGCATCACACCTGCATCACACCTCCATCACACCTGCATCACACCTCCATCACACCTGCATCACACCTCCGTCACACCTGCATCACACCTGCATCACACCTCCATCACACCCGCATCCCACCTGCATCCCACCTGCATCACACCTGCACCTCGACGCACTGAATAATCGAATTCTGGGAAAAGTGCAAAATGCTGTAAAGAGAAGACGACTGTGAACAATGCAGATTTTGAAATATTTAAAAAGTTCATGAGGAAGAAAATGTAGCAGAAGGTCGGCTGACTTCAGACTTCAGACATTATTGGAACTTAAACACAAGCTGTCAGCTTATGAAGTTCATCATTCTACGACACAGTTTAACAGATTTAAAGACATCTTCTGCTCATGTTTCATCAAATCTCAGCTTCAGTGTGTAAAGTCTAAAACTTTCTTTCTACAAAATAAACTTTAAACCTGCAGCAGCAGCAGCTCTGATCCACCCCCACACGCCTAAAACCTGGCGCCGCCGCTGCTGTGACACACGAGTGATTTCTAACAGGAGCTCAGCGTCTCGATCTGCAGCAGAGACAAAACGTCTGATATGAAATAAGAAGCGTGTTTTATTGAGGAGCAGCTGTCTTTGTGTTTTACTGTGCGAGCTGTTAGGGAGCTGTTAGCCTCAAACAGCCACGACAGCCCGCATCATCTCCTCTACCTGTCGCCATGGGAACTGCGAGGCGAGGAGGCGGCGTGGCGTTTGAGCCCCTGAAAACCGCATTAAAGAAGAAGAAGAGCATCGTAAAAATCATCATCATCATAAAAGCCCTGCTGCTGCTGCTGCTGCTGCTTTAAAGTAAAAACCCTCCAGGTCCTTCACAATAAAAGCTCTCCAGCTCATTCACAGCAAAAGCCCTCGAACCCTTTCAAAGTAAAAGCTCTCCAGCTTCTTGACACTAAACCCCTCCAGTTCCTTCACAATAAAAGCCCTCCAACCCTTTCCAAGTCACCCCCTCCTGCTCCTTCACAGTAACCGTCCTGCAAACCCTTCAAAGTAAAAGCCTTGCAGCTCCTTCCCAGTGACAGTCCTCCAACCACTTCACAGTAAAAAGTCTCCAGCTCCCTCACGTTGAAAGCCTCCAGTTCTTTCACAATAAAAGCCCTCCAACCTTTTTAAAGCCAACCCCTCCAATTCCTTCAAAGTAAAAGCCCTCCAGCTTCATCACAATAAGTCTTTTCCATGTTTCACATTAAAATAAATGATATGACTAACATCCACAGATGTCAGGTATATTTAATATTAAAATGTAAAATAAGCATCAGTCAAACATTCTGATTCGTCTCAGCTCCAGTGTCGATTTTATTTTCTGCACTTTTTAAAACACATTACAGATTAAACTGTTTTTATTCCATATTTAACAGCGTCTGATAACGTAGAAACACGTTGATGTTTAATCTCATTGACAGCAAACTTGTATAGACTGCAGCTGCAGTTTGACTGAGCTGAACAGATTATGAATTTAGGTAATAATAAAGGATGTTTGAGTGTGTTCCATGTGCAGGAGGTCTCAGAGCTCTCAGGACGTCTGCGACTGAAACACCTGGAAGATTCCAGGTCAGATTTGAGGCCAAACCGTCTGTCTGAAACAGTTCAGCTAATTAAAGTTGTGAAATTATAAATGAGCGTCAGAGGAAAAAGGTCAGCAGGAAATTAATTTTTAATTGACGGGAGGATTGTCGGTGCTAGGTGGAGCAGACGGGCTGCAGACTGGACCACTAACCCTGATCTGGAATCAGCTGCGGGCCTGCAGGTACCACGTTAGCGAGCAGCAGCACAGTTACTCAGAGTTTCTGTGTCAGCAGCTGCGAGGCATCCTGCATGTTGTACCACTCCTTCTTTATTTTTACACTGCGTCTCTATTTTTGCCTGACCTGCTGCATCTGTGGGTACACTGCTCTGACTCGTGGGTGTTTCTGTGCACAAACACTGGAACTCAACACTTACTGCTAAATACCTCTAATTTTACACTCAGCTACAGATTCAGCTCCGAAAGACTCAAACTACAGCAGCTGTGAGCTCTGAGGTGACGTTACGAGACGATGGAGGACACTCATTGACTCTGATTGATCCTGATCAATTATTGTTATAATATGTCAGAAAGGAGAGGAGAGGAGAGAATATCAGTAAACAATAGGAGACTAGAGGAAACAAAAGAGGAGACAAGAGGAGAGAAGGGCACAAGGTAGTAGAGGAGACAAGGAAATAGGTGGAGGAAGGAGAGAGGAGGGGAAAGGAGGAAATATGAAAGTAGAGGAGAGGAGGAAACAAGAGGAGACTAGGGGAGAGAAGGGCACAAGAGGGGAAAGGAGACAAGGAAACAAGAGAGGAGATGAAGAAACAGGTGGAGGCAAGATCAGTGGAGGAAGAAGAGAGGAGAGGAAAGGAGGAGAGAAAAAAGTAGTGGACAGGAGGAGACTAGAGGGGACAAGGGAACGAGAGAGGAGAGGAGACAAGGAAACAACAGAGGACATAAGGAAACGAGACAAGAGAAAAGAAGGAAACAAGAGAACAGATCAGAAAACAGGAGGAGGCAAAATTAAAAGAGAAAGAAGAGAGGAGAGGAGGAAACAAGAGAGTAGAGGAGACAAGGAAAAAGGTGGAGGAAGGAGAGAGGAGGGAAAAGGAGGAAATATAAAAGTAGAGGAGAGTAGAAAACAAGAGAGAGGATGAGACGAGGTAACAAGAGAGGAGATGTTTGAGGAGAGGAAGATGAAAATAGAAAAAATGAAAAAAGATGACAAAGAGGAGGAGAAGGAGGAGGTGGTGATGATGGAGGAGGAGGAAGAGGAGGAGGAGGAGGAGGTGGAGGTGGAGAAGGAGGAGTAGGAGGAGGTGGGGGTGGTGGTGATGATGGAGGAGGAGGAGGAGGAGGAGGAGGAGGAGGAGGTGGTGGTGGTGGTGGTGATGATGGAGGAGGAGGAGGAGGTGGTGTTGAGGATGATCTGGTTGTCCTACTTTTTCTCTTTTCTATTTTTAGAATCTAGATTTTTTTTTTCTCTTCGTCCTCCGATGACTCGCTGATGTTTCCTGCTGATGTCATCAAACCCCAAAACACACACACACACACACACACACACACACACACACACACACACACACACAGAACCTCCCCCCCCCGACTGACTGATTCCTTCCCAGCATGCAGGCTCTGTGTGAAGAGGCCCGACACCTCCAACACAGAATAAATAAAATCACAGCAGAGTTTCAATAGAACTCAAACAGGACCAGTTTAACCAGAACACACAGTTCAATAGAGACAGAACACAGCGACAGTAGAGTCTGAGTAGAACTCCTCCAGAGTTAAAACAGAACCAGAACAGAGCACACTAGAGTTTAAAGAGAAACACATTAGAGGTCAACTAGAACCAAAGCTGAACCACTGCAGCTGAGTTCAAATAGAACCACAGTAGATGTCTAATAGAACATCAGCAGAACCACAGCAGGGTTTATTCTACTGTGTTTAGTAGAACCACAGTAGAGTCTAAACAGAAGCAGGATACAACCACAAGACACAGAACCAAAGTAGAGTCTGAGTTCCAATAAAAGCAGAACAGTAGAGTTTAAATAGAAGCACAAAGCCCAGGAGAGGTCACATAAAACTACAATAGAACCACAGGGGAGTCTGAGTAGAACTGCAGTAGAGATTAGGCCAAATAGAACCAGAATAGAACAGCACTAGAGTTAAAGTAGAACCTGTAGAGCGTGATAGAGTTTAAGTAGAATATAAATAGAGCCATAGACCAGTATAATAGAACCAGAATGAAACGGAGGAGTTAAAGTAGAACCAGAATAGACTGGCTGTAGAGCTTCAGTAGAACGGAAGTTCAAGTGGAACCACAACTACAGTACAATGTTAAAATAGAGGTGCAATAGAACCAGACCAAGAGTTAAAGTAGAGCCATATAAAAGCTTCAGTAGAACTGGAATAAAGTTTGAATAAAGTGCAATGTTTAACTAGAACCAGAACAGAACAGCACTCGAGTTAAAACAGAACCTGTGAACCGTGACAGAGTTTTGGTAGAACATGAATAGAGCCACAGAACAGTACAGCAGAATAAGACTGAATCCAGACAGGAGTTAAAGTAGAACCAGAATTGACTGTAGGCCTTCAGTACAACTGGAATAAAGTTTGAATAAAGTGCAATGTTTAACTAGAACCAGAACAAAAGAGCAGTAGATGTTCAAGCACAACCACAACCACAACCACAGTATCGTGTTATAATAGAGGCACAATAGAACCAGACCAAGAACTAAAGTAGAACCACAATAGAATGACTGAAGAGCTTCAGTAGAACCGAAAGTTTGAATAAAGTGCAAAACTAGAACCACAACAGAACAGCAATCAAAGTTTGAGTAGAAGCGCAGTACAAAATTAGGGTAGAGGCACAATAGAACCAGACCAAGAGTTAAAGTAGAACCATAATAAAACAGTAGAGCTTCAGTAGAACTGTGCAACCAAAACAGACACACAGTTTCAAACAACACGACAGAACTGCAATAGAGTTCATGTAGGATTCAGACACATGATTTATTTGTGGCTGTTCCATGATATCAGCGTTCACCTCCACGTATTGATTTTCTATTTATTTATTTATTTATTCTCTCACACAAACACACACACACACACTGGGTTCGTTCCTAAACAGGCACTTGAAGCGGCTGAGTGCAGATCTGTTAGTTACTGTTAGAGCTCCACGCTGTCAGAGCAGCAGAACATCAGGCGCAGTGAACGTGAAACTTAACTGAGCATCAGTTTGGATTCACAGACCAA